GCGAACTGACATATGACTCGCGTACACACGCGTGTGCGCACAACAATTTCCGTACCATCTCTTTCTCTCTCAAGAAACGACAGTTTTTACTTGTTGCAACATCCGAGACCCCTTTTCCTTTTTCGGACGAATCGATTCGTTCACATCGATTTAATTTACAGTCGAAATCGGAAGCGATTTTCAGTGCGCGTTATTTTTCTTTTTTGCAAAATGAATAATCGAAGAAATGTTACGTACAATCAAACGTAACTTTCTTAATTCTTGCACTCGAATTGTCTAGTCACACAGGTTTTCGGAACGCTATGTCACTAGTTCCTCGCGAGAGCTTTTACGCGAAATTTAATATTACGGTAACGCGATATTTCGCGACACGAATAATATCACATCAGGGATTCTCGACTCACGTTACGTCGGCGATTAGCGTCCCTGAACGACGCTGTACGTACGTACGTTAATTCTCTAGTAACCGGCGTACGTATGCGTCACATACGCACACACGCGCGGGACGTATATGGTCGAGCTTGATAAACAACAGTGGTTGCCAAATCGCGGCTATTAATAAATGGAAAATCATTTGCGTAATGAAACGCGCGTTCGACCGGGCTGACGTTTCGCAGTGCGGACGCGATTCTCACAAATGTCGCGTTCGATATCGCATTGGATCATTTATTTCGGCGGGGCTCCGCGTAGAAACTACTGATCGACTAACCGGGGCATTGAGCAGAACCATTAATTTCTCGTGACACGTTCGAATAATCCGGAAAAATGTTTATCTGCAACGACAGCCACGGCGGATTCGATAACGCCCAGTTTCGGTAATTAGTGCTTGAGGAACTTCCGATAATGCATTGCAAGCTCTCTTTCTCAAATCTGACTTCTCGACTGTTCGAATATTACGTCTGCGGATTCTCCTCGAGCGACAGCTTGTCGATGAGAGGCAACGTTGCGTAGAAGAGAATCATTAATTTCTCGTGATACACTCTGAAGCGTGAGCTTAAAGTAGCGTTTTATCGCGAACGGCAGCCGTAACAGATACGATTACGTTTAAGATTCGCTAATTGGCACTTCAAGGGCTTGATAATGCGTTACGGTAATCTATGAGCCTCACTTCTCACCTTCAGTGTTCTTTGAATATTTAAATTTGCCCCGCTATATAAGGAAAGTAAATATTTGCAGATAACTATCTTAATTAAAATGTGCTTTTGATTGATGAGCCTCGCGGTTCGCGAATTTCAGTAATTTACATAAACCACTATACGCACACGATTGCATCCCTCATTGAGCATCGAGTGCCAAATTTTTCAATCAACGGCGATGAATTAAATTACTCGTATCCAATTCTTGTGCGTAAATGAAATCTCCGTACGGTTTAATGAATTCGCAGAAACGTTGATGGGTCAAGGAGTCAAAAAAACAATTTTTTTTGGCGAAAAAAGCTGATAGTTTCCAATATCGGACAAGATGTTGTGGCTGCGACTGCAAATGGGTTAACGCGATAATTTAATATAAAGCTTCCCGGCCGGTCGTTAACCTCCCGAGTACATAAAGAGCTAGAGGTAAAGTATAGGTACTCTATGTTGTACCCTCGGCTACAATGACGTGTATCGCGCGTCACTGCGCATACCTGAAAACGATAATTTGCCGTGACGCGCAATGTGCGTCACTGCAGCGGAGAAAAATCTGTGCGTTATGCTCATTTGCGATATCGGCGCGTCCCCGCCGATACTCGCGTTACGTTCGAATGGGAATGATAATTTTATTCTTACAAATTCAGGACTCGGCTGCACTCGTTGCCGCATCCCCACCCTCGGAAATCAACGAGCACTCACGAGAATTCTTATCTGTCATTTGTACATTCTCTGTGCGTGCGAGCGAGGAAACCTATTTTCAGCTAAGGGATGTAATAAGCACGCTCTGATTGCTCTAATTACTGTATGCACACAGCCGTACAGGATTCGTGATTCCGCCTTGCGTGCCTTTTTGTTCGGGCGGTGCGGGGTTTAACGATTACGCGCGCATGAACGGAAAGCCGAATCCCGAATCAAAAGCAGTGGATTTAAATAAAGCCGCCGATTGATCCTCCTGGATAAACGTCATTAAGCTGACGGCGACAAATGTGGGGTCGTCGGGATTGCGTTCAATTAACATTTCTCCGTAATCCACGGCAGGAACGCCGTTTGTCCATTAATAAATACGCTCGAATCGCCTCGCGTAACCGCTCGATAGATAAATAATGTAACCGATGCGGGTTACGAGATCGAAGCTGCGATCGGGCGACGCGTGTATATGTGTGTGTGTGTCTGTGTGTGTGCGTGCGTGTCTGTGTTATGTATACCGTGAACACGTGGCGTGGTTCTGTGTGATTTACATATAGCAATTAACCCTTTGCGGTCGTGGCGTTTGCAACGGCGGGGATTTATGTGCCGGAGGGGCACATTGCGAGAGACTTGCAAATCAAAGGGCAAGTGCCTCTCGCACGGTGAACGCGTCTACAGGGGACCGATCGATTACCCGTGACATCCTTTCGGACGTCTCCATATAAGCGCGTACGCTAATTGACCGAATTTTTATTACATTTTACTGACTTCAGGAGGCATGGAGAGTCCTATGTTCAACCACACTTGTTTCAATTTTAACTGCTATCTGATAGATGCTTTTGTATGATATTTATCAAACCGGTTTCTTACTCGTGTATTTCATTATTGTCTTGATCAATTTCTGACGCGAGTAGATAACAATAAATTAATAATAATGACAGAATTTACTATTCCCTTTCTATAAAAGAAATGTTAACAGCGCGAATGTCATTAATATCGAACAGTTGAGGCCTCTTTTCCGCGATGCCGATTAGTTTTCTCGAAGCGCGGTGTGCTTCACTTCTCTTTTAGATTCATAGTAAATGAAGATTTGCGATTTAGAAATATACATTTGCATACACCAACTATTGAGGTAAAATCAACAACGATTTTTGTTTCGAAACATTTTCTCGGTTGACGGGAATTAGTCGTTAATTTACTCAATACGAATAAGTCCGCAGAATGGTACGCAAAACGTAGTAACAGTTACGGCACAAAGTAATGTAAATATTCAGTACAGAATTTTCGTAGGCGGGCCAACGAATTCTCAACGTTTCTTTGTTGTTTTTCTCTCGGCGCGGTGACGTACGATGTTTTTGCGTGCCATCGGTACCTGAAGGTCGCTTGCGCTATCACTCGCTCGCCGAACGTCGAGCCGGCAAGCAGTGGCGCGAATCGCTCCGCGCGTGGTATTACTTTTGCGTTATCGGTTTCCAAGACTCGATTGCGATGAATGCAGGGATAAAACGCTATTGATTTGCACACCTTTATTAGTAACAAGTAACGTTTCTATACTTTCCGTACACATAGATATTTCACGAGACTAACTCATCTAAAATATGAAGGTAAACTGTGGTACTTTGTCGCGTAAACATCTCGTTTACGCACCGCGTTTTTAATTATCTGTCGATTTCGTGTAATCTGTTCCATTTTCGGGAAAAAAGAGAAATTTGTACGACTTCGCTCTGTCGTTCTTCGCAACTCGAACGGCCGGGAAGTAAAGAAAGTCGCTTATTGCACGTCGTTACATTATTTCTTTGCCGCAGATTATGCTTCCGATGCTCGCGTTGCGTTTTATATCGCCAATTCGATAGTGATTTATCCATTATCCTATTCTTCCGAATCAAAAATGCAAGTTGTTAGTTTGAGTAATTTGTATGACAGAAAGTCTTGGAAACGCAAAAGTTAATAATATTTCGTGTGTTTCGCGGTATTTCACATCGCGTACGGGAGTGCCGGAAGTTTTGCGCGATCGATGATTTTTGCGAGTGTTGTGTAAGTGCAACAAGGACATCTGAGAGGAGGAGGAGGCTCAGGGGGGCATCGGGCAACGGCGGAAAATTGGTGAGGTAAGTGTCTTACATTTTGCTGTTATTTGCTACTTGTGCAAAATAAAGTATCTGTTCTGTGTTTTTATTTGATTTATTCAAATGATTCGAACGACGATTCGAATAAGTGTTAGAGACAAAACTATACGCATAAAATTTTGTGATATTATATTCTATTATATTCTATACAATTATTGTAATAAATACCTATTTTAAAAAATATAAAGTATATTTAATACAATAATTTCGATTTTACATAATTACTCTATAATAATCATATATATATATTTATTTTTACAGTTTAACATATATAGTTAACGATATACAACTCTGCTGTTGCGAATCCTGAATCCTATCAGTGAGTGATAAATTACTTTTTATTTTAAATTGACGTTGCGCATACAATTACTTCTTTGCATGTATACACAAATTCTTAAAAATATACAATATTCAACTACAAACTGCGAGCGAAGCGCGCGTTTTGTAATTTCTAGTGATATAAAAATTGAAGTAAAAATTAAACAGTATCTTGTTTCCAAACTGCCTCTTCAAAGATAATTAAATAAATTTATTAGACAGTTCGATACAAACATTTTATATAATTAAAATTATTCCTTTATTATCACAATATTTGAAATCAAACTTATTTTGCAGTATAATTAGCAGTTTTTATCGAGATGGCTTAAAAAATCATACGTTTTAAGAATGGTATTTGCACATCTAAGTATCGCGATTTCAGTAAATTTAATGACAGATTTGTCATACCGCATCGAAGAAATATCTCGTAGAGTTTCTCTCGCAGTTGATACTTGATAATTAACTTGACTGGCTGCGCAACGAGTCGCATTAGCCATTTTGGCCAAGTCCCGTCAACTTTCGGCGCCACATCGCCATCACCTAAAGATCTCGATCTTAGACTGCCTCGCGTGTGCGACTTCCAACTATCATCAAGTCACTTGAGGCTCGATATCAACGGCTATCAAATCACGTTGCATATCAGCAGTGATTACGCATAGTGTTAATTAACTAGAATATAAATAGACATATTTGATAATAAGATATCTCCCTTGACAATTTTAAACTCGTCTTTGTTAAATCTTTTGTCGAATAGCTTTTTTTGAAGTCTAATGTTAGCTTTAGCGATTGCTTAAGACATTTAAAAATGTACAAATGAAGTTAGGAGTAAGTAATCAGGTTGCAAAGTGAGAGAAAATGCGATTGAAGATAATCCCTTTATTTATTTCATGGTATACAGATACATAACAAAACTCAAAATGTAAAGTTCAAGCTTTCGGAAAACATCTCAGCAGTTCTATTGCTATACATTTTCTTAAGAATTAAAATAAAATTACATTGACGTTACGATTAAACAAATTTACAATCAACGCGAATTTTAATACATTGCACAAAATAGTGTTTAATTCTACTTATATAATTTTTTATCTGTTTTATGAATTTACTAAACGAGACTTGCTCATGCGAATGTCTTCCTCTTATCTTTTCCATACGATATTTTGATAAAATATTATTGCATTATAATTATTATTCGTTAAATACATAATGTCGTAATTCTCAAATTTTGCATAAATAGTGCGAGGGCGGATGTTGACCTGCACCACTGAATTTAGTAAACATTTCGAAATGTACTTCAATTGAAAGCTGTTATGTTAACTTATGCATGTTTCGAACCTGTTTAAATCTAAAAAATTCGTTTCTTTTTAAAGATTTCGCATGCGAGAGATACCTTGTTTTCAGTGACTTTTATATCCTTTTCGCGTGACAAACGTGCAGAGCGAAAGAGCCATTTTTTATGCATCTCACGGCATCGTTCCTTCTACATCTCGTCTTTTACGAAAAGAAAAGATATTGTCGAACTTTACGAAAAATTTCAAAAATATTCCACTTCCGGCATTACACGTACACCGCCATTCAGTTTCATTTCGAGAGAAAATCGTCCTCTCGCCTCGCGCGCGTTTATTTATAATGCAGTAGACTTTACGAGGCTGTGCCTCTCCGCGGCCGTAAGTGCGAGTATTCGTAATACGCGCGGCGTTCGCGGTGAATCACGTATAAGGCGAGAGCGGTTCTGTAAAGTAAGATAAACACGATCACAGTCGTCACCGGCGATAACGTAACGCGACGACGCGGCGAGTCCGCCGCGCGGCCACATGGAGACGATAAACTTCGATCCTCCTCCCTCGCCGCTCTCACGCGTTTCTCCTCGTGAAGAAAACTGTAACGGTAAATTAGAATTTATTATTGATTAGCACCCGCAAAGCTTAGCTCGAGAAATATTCCTCGTTTTCATTCACACACTGAGAACAATTTTCATCGGATAAACCGATTAAATAGTGTTTCCGATGGTTAATTTTTCCGATTAAATTATGAATACATCCGATGAAATTTATCCGACGAAATGCAGTTACTGATGAAATTTGATTAAAAAATGGATCACATTTTTCATCGGATATACAATTTAATTGGATATATCCGTTTGTTATTATGTAATCGGATTATCCGATTATATTTAATCGGATATTTTTCTCAGTGCACGGAAAGAAAAATATAGCCGCCGTAGCTAAAAAATTGCACGTGGCAACTAAATTTCAATTGTAAAATACGAACAGCTAATATTTGGTTGTGACAGCTAAATATTTTGCTGCTGTGCCTATTGCAGAAATGTATAGTTATGGCAGCAAAATATTTTTAGCAAACCATGATTAGCTACGGCAGCGAAAAAATTTTTTTTAGTGCACTTATAATCTGGACAATTATTATTTTTGATAATCGAGAAATCGTAACAGTTTACGAAGCAATCTGCAGTTGAAAAAGAAATACGATTGTTACGATACTGTATGTAAAATCCGAACGAGCTGTTCGATTGGTGAATCAGACGACAGACAGACGGGCGGCTTTCCTTTTCCTTTCAAAGTCTCCCAAGCGGCGCCAAAGTGCCAGAAGCACCACGTGTCTCTTGGCGCCGAAGTATGTACGCTTAATCTAGCACGCACGTCGTGCGCGCGAGGGAGCGAGCCGAGGTGGGGGAAGCGCGAGTGAAAGAAACGCCGCTGGGGAGAGCAGACGCGGAAACTTTTAATAGCCGGTTTCGTGAGACAAGTCAAGGACAAGTCGTCTCACTCGTTGAGACCGTTAAACCGCAGTTTAATCTTCTCGATACAAAGAAAGTCGGCGATAACGGATTAACGCGAGGTCGCGAAGTGCCCGAACACAATCCGTGGAAAATGATTTACTTTCGCATCTATTAGCGTGTGCCTTAAGGCCGAATTAAATTAGCAATTGTCGACGTCGATCGGATTGGGATTGGTGATTGTCTTCTAGCCAATGAGAGCGTAGCAGCCAGCCATTTAATCGACTCTCATTGGCTAGAGGACGAATTGTCAATCGTCAATCTCAATCCAATCCGAGTCGGCTATTACTAATCTGATTCGGCCTTTAAGCACGGCGCGCTAAGTGCGTGACAATTGCCATTTTTAACGTCGCAACAGTCGCGGATATAAAGACCTGTGTCTATATACGATGCTTGGTCCAAGTTCCAGTTTCGAGAAATGTGTAGCCAATCAACTTACAGCTGTTCCATAAAAGCCACACATTTCTCGGAACTAGAGCTTGGACCAAGTTCTAGCATCGTGGACACAGGCCTTAATACTGGAATGTTTTCCGCTCGGCGTCTCAAAAATGGGTGAAACGTGCGCGGTTGAAATACTTCGGTGTTAATTCAACATTCGTACAACATTACGCATTTGCGTGCTAAATTTGTAACGAGCACAAACTCTCACTCGATTGGCGAGCGTTCATTTGCGGTTATTAATCGAGGCGAAACGCACACGTAAGCTTCTCGAGATCCTTGTTTTTTGACACAGATTTTTTCCCGTCTGTTCTCGCATTCGTTTGCGTCGCGCGTAAATAATGAGCGCGAAACATTGTGCGGATTTTTCAAGTGCGAACTCACGTAAATGACAAAGCCTTCGTTGCGGCGATTTAAATTACGACTGTAGTATATAATATATCAGCTTAATTTATAACGGTTGTAAAGATTAATAAGTTTCTTCACTTTTTATTCTACCGTTAAAATGCGTCTCCTCTCGTATGCGTCTCCACCCCCTTCGCCGAAGGCTCTTCTCGTCGCCCGATATTTTTACCGCCGGCACCTGTTATCTTTGCGCTTATATTACTTATCGCTCATTAAGTTGATAATCTGCTGCTGCTGCCGTGGGTCATTGTCCCGGGACGTAATGAAACGCCGCTATTCTACTTTCATCCTATCGTTTCCGGAGCGCGCGTTGGCGTCCGCATTTAATATTCTAGTCCATCGCGTATTATTTCTATCAAGAGTGTTTGTTATCTCGGTTGGTGTGTCGGTTAGGTTAAAGAGATTATTGCATCAGCGTTGCGCTATAATTAGAAATATACACTGAGAAAAATTTTCATCGGATAAACCAGTTAAACAGTGTGTCCGATGGTTAATTTTTCCGATTACATTATGGATACATTCGGTGAAATGCAGTTACCGGTGAAATTTGATTGAAAAACCGATCACATTTTTCATCGGATATTTTTTTCAGAATAGCATTGTAACATCTTCAAAATTATAATTAAAATGTTGCTCCTAATTCCTGGGTAGATCGACCAGATGCATTTTGTAAGATGTTGAAAACGAATCACAGAATTTTTCGATAGATTACGAAGAATTGCAGTCAGTTTATACAGCATCCAATGTAAGACGCGGTCTGTAAATTCTCTACGCTGAGAAAAACAATCGATTAAATATAATCGAATAATCCAATTACATAATAACGAACGGTTATATATGTCGGTTTAAATTGTATATCCGATGAAAAATCTGATCGGTTTTTCAATCAAATTTCATCGGATGTATCCATAATTTAATCGGAAAACGTAATTGGAAAAATTAACCATCGAAAAACACTATTTAATTGGTTTATGCGATGAAGATTTTTCTCAGTGCACTCCGTAGGATACAAAATAGTGTGGAGGGAAAATAATATTATTCATAGGATCGTATCTTGGTATTATGGATTTCATCTAGAACGGGCTTTAGTCTTCAAGCCTGTAATCCCCGCGTTAGCAACGTGCTATATATTTCAATCTCACTCGAATCGTTCTTTTTTCTTCTCTTCGTGTTTGCGACGTCGTTCTTACGTGAACAATTTCAAGCGCGGGCGAGGGAGAGAGGGATAATTACGTTGATTTAGCGTCGCTGATAATTGTTCCGTGATATTTATAACACCTCCGGTGTAGATGGGACTACGGTAGTCTGTGCAATCAGTGATGCAATCGCGAAAGGAGCGAGATCACGTTCACAGCACGTGGCCGCGGCGGTGGTGGTGTGTGTGGGATCCATTGTGATTTCCGCCGATACCAGAAACCATTGGGGAATCGTTCGCGGGCGGTGTCTGGCCGGCGCGGGTCTCTAAATAATTTCGTTGGAGCACTACGCGTTGCCACGTGTTGCCCCTTTCACATGTTGCCGCGGAAACGGGTCTATTAAAAAGCAGTCACGGACGAGCACGAACGCTACCACGAGTTGAGATCTATTCGCGTAAAGATTGGTGTGTGATTAACGACATTATATTCCACGAGGAATGCATTCCCATAGGCACTAAAAGGCATTTATAGATAGTGCTTTATTAAATTATTGGATTATTCGCAATATATTGCGATGAACTTTCTGATACATCATTTACCGTATAACATTTCTGGAGCTCCGCGTATCTGTCAGACAGTTGATCATTGACACGATCGTCGTAAAATCATCTTCATAAAACTGTCATCCGCTTTGTTACGGCGCGGGCACGCGATGTTTCGCATTCAGACGAGCTTTTTAATATTCATTAACGCCGCTTATCTCCGAGCGGTTATCAGCCAGGCATTTTTCCCTTTGTTTTTCACAAATCATCGTTAAAAGCGGCGCGCCGCCTCTTCTCCAGCGCTGCCGACCTTCCTCCGGCAACCGGCGCGCGTGCACAATTCGTTATCATTGTTTTGCTTGTTTTTGCTGCGAATGATAAGGAACGGCGCGCCAGGGCCCACCCTATGCCGCGTACGTATGTGTATGTACATAAATTCACATGCACGATGTAACCGGTCTCACAATCAGATTTCTATATGACATGCTGGAATCAATACCTTAAAAATTTGTATCCTAAATTTCATTCCCAATCTGAATTTATGACAGTAATTTATCTAGATTTATTGGTATAATTTATCATTCGCAAACTTGATCGTTCATTACACTGACAGCCCGATTAAATTATACAGGATTGCGAAAGGAAGTTTTTGTGCGAAGTTCTCAGCCTGTCGAGTATATTTTTCACTTCATTTTAAGCAACGAACGCAGACCTCAAGTCCGTAAAGATTACGTAAAGATTTTTATTCAGACTTTTATTTGTATTTCGTAATTCTTCGTGACTTAAAATCCTCACGTAATTGGTAGAAACGGTCTTCGGGTTTATTATTGTATTCAGTCTTTTGTTCGGTTTTATTAAATTACAGCCGACATGAAAGAAGCACACTCATTAAAATGGAAAAAATGTAGTCTAAAAGTTTTTTTTTTCTAAAATTCGTTTCTTATGTTTAAGAAAAGTATATTACGTTATATTATACGCGAGGAAATAATCGGAATAAGCGTGTCCAAATGTGTTTATCGAAAGTCCCAAATCTTTGCAACTTCATGTTATCACCGACACAAATAGAACGACGTAGACGGCTGGGGACGAATCGGTGGCGGAGAGAAGCAATAAAGACGGAGAGAGCGAAGGAAAAAAAAAAGAGTACACTCGCATGCCGGTGGCTCGTTCATTGCGCTCTTATCACGCGAGGGGATTCGACGATTTATTGACGACTACGCCTGATAAGGCGAAGGCGAATGAGCTACGAGAATCGTGTGAGTGAAAGCGTTCATTGTGGGAATAAGTTAGTCAATCTTTCGGGTGAAAAACCGAAAAGAATCGCGCAATTATCCGATTAATTCTGCCATAATCACAATTAATCATCTGCGGCTGTTAATCTATGTCAAGCGGCTAAGTGTTTGTTTGAAACGTGCACTTGGCCGTTTATACGACGACATGCGATTTTCTTTCTTTTTTAGCGACTACTGCTAATAAGAGCAAAGATTCGTTTTTAAAGAAAATTAATTTAAAGCTTCGCCTCATTTCGCGGAATATTTAGAGCTAACCGTTGCCTCGGGCAAAA